TTTGATGAAGCAAAAGGGTGGAACTGGAGTGAAACAGAGGAGAGTTCAAACAGAGATCCGGGCATGTTTCACATGCGATGGGGAACAATAATCGATGAGGGAGAAGGACCAGCGATTGTTGGAGGAGACCACCGTGATCATGATACACAATCCGGCGATGATCACCGTGATCATGATACACAAGTTGGTGACGATGAGCCTCAAAGCCCGACTACGCATCAATCACCGCCACAACAAATCCCACAGGTCATTACACAACCCCAACCAGTGAGAAGGTCTACACGAGAGTCAAACCTTCCAAGTTACCTCGACGACTACTACCTGAAGGATGACTATGCACTTCAAGCGATCATAGAGTGCGAGAGGCTTCTATTGTCAATCAATGATGAACCCCTGAACTATCGAGAAGCAAAAGAGTTAGTCGAGTGGACTAACGCGTGCAAGGAGGAGATCAGTTCGATAAACAAGAACAATACATGGTTTTTAGTTGAAAAGCCAAAAGGAGTCAAGGTCATTGGTCTTAAATGGATATTTAAGATCAAATGAAATGTGGATGGCTCTATAAACAAGTACAAGGCACGGTTAGTAGCAAAAGGATATGTTCAGCAATCAGGGATTGATTTCGACGAAGTGTTTGCGCCGGTAGCCCTTATTGAAACAATACATCTACTCGTGGGAATAGCTGCTTCTTATGACTGGGAGATACACCATCTCGATGTTAAGACGGCATTCCTACATGGTGAATTAAACGAAGATGTTTATGTATCACAACCGGAGGGCTTTGAAAAAGGAGGAGAAGAACACAAAGTGTTTAAGCTTTCCAAAGCCTTATACAGACTAAGGCAAGCTCCACGAGCATGGAATACCAAGCTGGATCAAATTTTGAAGAGTTTGAAGTTCAGAAAGTGTTCAAAGGAAAGTGCCGTGTATCGCAAGGAAGAAAGAACAGAGATTCTCCTTGTGGCCGTATACGTAGATGACTTATTTGTTACAGGAAACTCATTGGGAGTTATACAAGAATTCAAGAGAAACATGTCATCCAAGTTCGATATGTCCGATCTTGGAAAACTCACATATTACCTTGGTATCAAAAATTTTCAAGGTAACGACAGCATCGAGTTAAACCAAGAAGCATATGCTCGTAGAATTCTCAAGGAAGCTGGCTTAGACAGTTGTAACCTTTCTCACATTCCAATGGAGTTTGGGTGAAAGATGTCAAAAGCAGACGAAGAACCAGAGATTGATGCTACGATGTATCGGCGAAGAATTGGCTGTTTGCGATATTTGTTGCACACCAGACCCGACCTTGCTTACTCCGTAGGAGTAGTAAGCAGATATATGCAGAATCCAAAAGAGTCTCATGGTAGTGCACTAAAGCAAATCTTGAGGTATTTGCAGGGAACCTTGTCGTATGGCTTAATATTCAAGCGAGGAGGATCAAGAAAGATTGTCGGTTACAGTGACAGCAGTCATAACACTGATCCGGATGACGACAAGAGCACTGCAGGACATGTGTTTTACTTTGGAGAAACACCAATCACTTGGTGCTCACAAAAGCAGCAGACAGTCGCACTATCGAGCTGCGAAGCAGAATTCATGGCGGCAACGGAAGCTGCAAAACAAGCGATATGGCTACAAGACTTGATGAGTGAAGTGATGGGAAGAAGCTGTGAGAAGACGACCATTCGTATTGATAACAAGTCCGCCATAGAACTTACAAGAAACCCTGTCTTCCACGGAAGAAGCAAACATATCCACAAGAGATATCATTTCATCCGAGAATGTGTTGACAATGAACAAATCGATGTGGAGTTTGTACCCGGAGAAGAACAGTGTGCAGACATCCTAACAAAAGCCTTAGCAAGAATCAAGTTCAGAACGATGAGGAGTTTGATCAGTGTTCAAGACCTCTCGAAGAAGGACTCGAAGCTTCAGGGGGTGATTGTTGGGTAAAGCTTCGAAGACTGAAGCCTACGACATCCTTAACCAAGTCGGGTTAGGATAAGAAAGGCTCGAAGCAATCCTATTAGAGTTAGGAGTTATCTAGTTCTAAGTTAAATAGGATTAAGTATAAATTAGCTGTGTCGAGTTATCTATATATATTGTTTGTTGAGCTGTGACAAACGATTATCAGAAAAACACAAAGAGTTTGTGGATGTTTAGTTTTGAGAGATTTTCTAAACATTAATAAAGAAAGTTGATTCTTTATACATTCTAAGTGTGTTTAAGAAACTTTACCTATAACTCTCTAAAATACATGATAAAAAGGAAAAAAAAAAACGCAAATGCATAAAAAGATCCCAAAAACAATACAAAGTGGGATCGAAACCTATGAAAATAAAATTTTTAAACATGCAATATAGAATTATCATATGTTCGATAAACGAAAGGAACTGTTTAGTAACACAAAGAAAAAGAACAAAGCTAATCAATAAATTATTGAAGTTAAGAAGAGTTCTTTTCATTTTTAAATAAAAATATTTTAGAAATCCATGAGCTTTATAAACATTCTTTTTTCATTAATAATTCTATAAAATAATAAATTACCTACTCCCAATATTATTAAATTTATAATTTTTTACATAACATAACATATAACATATATAGCATTTGTAAATTTCAAGCATCAATGAGCAAACGAGTTATACATCTTCCACTTCGTCTCAATATCAGTAACAATCACCACATGATGAAGTGGATTAGTGGTGTAAATGTAGGTGTTAATATTGTTGTGCTTCTAATTTGATTCTCAATAAGAGAAAAGTGGTATTAACAAAGGCTGGTTTCGGACCTGGGAGGGATTAGGACCTATGCCCAAACCCTATCTAGTTATCAGAAAAAAAAATATCAGTAATAATCTATATATAAACATTAGACTTAAAGGACAGTTACATACATTTTAATATATACAATCAACCATGTTTTAGATTATATAACATTACACAGTGCCGGTCCTGAGCCCAAGCAAGCAAAGCATGTGCATGAGGCCCCTACTAGAATAAGTAAATTTTCAGCAGTAAAATTCAATATAGTGATTAGTGGATGCAGTAAGATAAGGATCTGACCACTGTTTGTTACGTTGTCCATTATTGGCGTTGCATTTCGATCAAACATTGTCGACGAATCTGCCTGGCAGGAGAACTGGAGAAGATGCCATCTCGACACCATTTCCATCTTCTTTCTCTTTTTCCAGATAATACAACTAATTTTCGTGTTCTATTCTCAAAAATATAATTGAAGTTAAACAACTTTTAACGTATACACAGGCAGAAAGCAAGATAGCCTTGTTCTTTTTCTTTTTAATCTAATGTCACTGAATTGAGGCCCAATTTTAGCAAAATCAGAAAGTTAATATTTATGTTGATGAAATTAGAGTATTTTTTAGAGTATATGATCCAATATTTGGAGCATAGCCTGATAGAAACAAATGATAGTCAGAAACTTCACATTCATAATCGTAATTTGGCTTTTCATTTTTTCTTTGGCTGAGTTGTTTTAATTTCTCAATTGACTATTTTAAACTTTTCGTATCTCAGATTAGGAGAAAAAGAGTGAAAAATCTCTTTGGCTGAGTTGTTTTAGATTTTCAATTGACTATTATAAATTTTTAGTATTTCAGATTAGAAGAAAAAGAGTGAAAATCACATAATTATCCCTTTAATATTTATATTTTGTCAAATAAATAAATAGTATATGCATTCACTCTTGTTGATCCTTTAGCCCGTCACGACTCACGGCGTCACTCCGTTAGCCCCCCAGAAATATTCTAAATGTCGGCTATGTGTGAAGATAAAGTAATATTTCATTTAAATTAGTGGATTTTAATAGAGTTTTCTTTTTCCCAGTTAAAAGGTTAAAGTAGAATTCTTGGATACATACGTACATTGTAGATTTTCTAATCATCTTAACGGAAATTTGAGGCTTTTTTTCTGACATCGAAAGAATACCATTTTGTCACGGAGTGCAAGTGTGCAACGTGCCTTCTTATAAAAGTCATGTCTTTGTACTACTAATATTGTTTCCCAAAGACACCTGCATGTGATTTTTTTTTTAATTAAATGCATGTGAATTTCTTCTAATCTGTTTTTTTTCTTTCTTATCTGCTATTTGCAATATATTTTATTCGTTGTGCCGAGTAGTAGATGCAACTAAAATTAAGAGGAGATTATTTTTTTTATTTGGACAAATTAACCGCTTAAGTGTAAAAGGAAAAATCGTTCGTAAAAGATAAAATCGTTATAAATACTTTGACTAGATCCCAGTAAGTCAAATATTTGTTCCTTCCTCTCACGGGATTTTCGTGCTCAATTATATGACCGTTGGAAAATGACAGCGTCTAGAATTATGAACTCTTCTCTATCACATTTTATCTGTGTTTCCAAATTCCAATTCCCTATTAATAACGTATTAGACCAAAACATCACTACAAAAAAAGTTCACTTTGTTTATTTTTCTTTTGTCAACCAACAATGGTATAGTAATAGATTAAATTGGAGTTATGTCAGAAAACTAATTAGCCATATTCTTTTTCGAAAGCCATTACGATTATAGAGTATCCAAAATCACTCAAAATATATAATGAGCCAAAAAAACTGAAATGGAACACTATTTAAAAGATTCATGAAATAAAAAACCAAGTACTAGTGAATCAATGACAACAGAAACAAAATCTATGAATAATTGAATGGGAAAAGAAAAGAAGAAAACTAATAATAAATGCTCTTTGTATATGTGGGGTAATAGAAAAAAAAGAAAAGAAGTGAGATGTGTGTTTTATTTATATAAACAGATCTAAAGCACCAATCTGACGGTCCATAGAAGAAAAAAAGCTTTAATATCTGTGCCACTAAAAAAAAACTCTCTCAACTCTCAACTCATCCACACTGAGTCACTGACACAACAATCAATGGGAGAGGTTTTGTTTTTCAAAGTTTTTCAAATTCTCATAGCCAAAAACTATTCCTCTCAATTGATTTCTCCTTTTATTTACCATTTTGCAGGAAGATAAGAAGAAATCGGAGGAGAAAATGGAGGAGAAGAAAGATGAAGAGCCGCAAGTGAAATCAGAGGATAAGAAAGAAGAAGAGAAAGAGAAGAAGAAAGAGCCTCAAGAGATTGTTCTTAAGATCTTTATGCATTGTGAAGGTTGTGCTAAAAAAATCCATAGATGTCTTAAAGGCTTTGAAGGTACCACTAGTCACTTTCCTTTTACCATTTGTGTAGTGGTCTAATTTAAACATTTGGTTATAACTTTTAATTCAATTTTGGGATAGTTGAAAATGTTATGAATGTGATAGGAGTGGAGGATGTAACAACTGATTGTAAAACTAGTAAAGTGGTGGTGAAAGGAGAGAAGGCAGATCCACTAAAAGTGTTGCAGAGATTGCAAAGAAAGAGTCACCGTCAAGTGGAGCTTCTTTCGCCGATTTCGGAGCCTAAAGCGGTTTCAGATGAAGCGGTGAAGAAAGAGAAGGAAATAGAGAAACCTAAAGCTCAAGAGAAAAAGGAAGAGGTATTGTAATTATATTTTTGAATATTTTGGGGACTAGATTTGTAATTTCAAAGAAAGTAAAATGGTTCTGTGTAATTAACAATAAGATTTTGTGGGCACTGAGAAAAATAGGTAGTGACAGTGGTGCTGAGAGTTCACATGCATTGTGAAGCATGTGCCATGGAGATCCAAAAGCGAATCATGAGAATGAAAGGTTTGTTTTCTTTTTCATCTTATAGGTTTTTTTAATTAAAATATTCTCAATTGGGTACGATTCCTATTGAATCTGAGTTTTATTTCTGAATTTGTGGGACTGCACTTAATTGGGGACATTATGTTTTGGACTCTTCTGTATGTCATAAAATTGATTCTATCTTTTAAATTGTGTATGTACTATGTAGGCCCTTTTTTTAAATAGCAATTTAAAAGAGCATGTGTTTAGTGAATTTCTTCCTTAAAAAAGAGACGCATTCACCAGATTAATATTATTATAATCTAGCAACAAACTTTTCTTCTTCACTAATAATATGTTTATTTTATTTTTTGAGTATTTCTAGATTTAAATGATACGAGTTGTGTTGAATCAAGTCAAACTTAAGTCAACTACTTTGTTTTTACTTCACCTTTCTCCCAAGAATCCCAAAGTTCTAAACAATCTACTCTGGGATTCTTGATTCTGGGGTAGGGTATACACTTCTTGCATGCGGATTTTTTACTTATCTGAAATTGCAAAATGAATCTCTATGTCACATATAAGTTGTACAAGTTATTGTTTCTGAAAACTGTGGTTATTTATGTTTGGTAGAAATATATATGTGCTATCAATTAATCGAGTTGTCAGGGCCAAAATGTTACATTGGTGGCTAGAGAACTGAAACTAGTTTTGCACAACAACCTCATTCGAATGTAAATTCAACATTTTGTAATGCAATTTGGAAGTTCGACATTCTTCAAATATTAACATTTTGTGAATATTATGTATAGTTAGTTTACATTTGGCTCTAAAAGTCCAAATATGTTTCATATATAGGAGTGGAGTCTGTGGAACCAGATTTTAAAGCATCACAAGTGAGCGTGAAAGGAGTTTTTGCACCGGAGAAGCTAGTTGAATTCCTTTACAAGAAAATCGGAAAACACGCAGCGGTTATTAAGCAAGATCCGCCGCCAAAACCGCCGGGGAAAGAAAAAGAAACGAAAGATAAAGACGAGAAGAAAAAGGAAGAGGAACAATCCAAAGAAGGAAAAGGGGCCAAGGAAGACGGTGATGGAGGAGGGGCTAAACCGGCTGCCGAAGGGGGCAGTGCTGCGGTGGAGGAGGGGAACAAACCGGTGGACTTGAAGAAGAACGAATATCAATACCAACCACCGAGGTATCCCGTGGAGATGTTTGCTTATCCACCACAAATATTCAGTGACGAGAACCCCAACGCTTGTACCATGATGTAATAAATCGTCGGTTTAAGGGGTTGAAGGATTTATTTTTTTACTTAATTAATATGCCGTATTTTTTTAACTTAAAGTACTAAGGGTTTTTCTTTTGTTTTTTGATAATTTTTAATTTCAAGTTAGTAAGAAACTTAGCTGATATTAGCTGAAGTAATTGTCTTTTAGAAGCTCCTAAAGTTTTTTTGTTGTTTATTCTATTTTGCACTTGGCAGTTGGCACCGCACAAAGGTATGTGCAGGACAAAGACAAACACACATAAAAAAAATAGTAAAAGTGCTGAGTTTATCTGATTAAATGGTCAAGCTACACTTCAATGTCAATAAAGTAAAATTGACAGTGAAATAGTGACTGGATTAGTACCTATCCTTATTCTTGCCGTGCTTGGCATCTGAGTTGTGTTTGATGTTCCGCCCACCTTTGCAACCTTCTGTGCCATTTTCTACGAATTTGCTTCTTGCATAACTATCTCTAGCATATCTGTTGGTAAAATCCCTTTCTTGTTAAAAACTTTGTCATTTATGACGTTTCATATGTACCATATAATTTAGGGAGAAAGTCTCTAGCGACTTTGTAGTGATTCCTTGTTCAGAAATCCGAAACAAAAAATAGATAAATTTCTGAGAGATTACCGTACTCGGAAAAACACCAGGAAAGGATGGAATAACACTTAAAATCCACGTTTGTAGCGCTGGAGAACATTTAAAGAGTACATGATTGATCGACTCTACTTTTGCTCCACAGCATTAACATTGACTATTTGTCCCACACTAATGATACGCTAATTGGCTATTAGTTGCTATATATCCACATAAAATGCTTTTATCTTCCAAAAAATTTTTTGGTCCCAAACATTTCTCTATAAGGGGTTGAAGCTCGGTTCTATAACCGGTGGCATTCCATCCTCGTCTCTCATTTGTATTACCAGCTCATTACCAGTATTTACAGAGTACATACCAGACTTTGTATAAGCCCACACAAACCTGTCTGGTTTATATCACCTACTTGGTCTGATATTATTTATACGCAGAATATCTTCTAGAGCAAACAACTGGTTTAGGAGGTCAACCCACCATTCAAATGTGGCTGGATTTATCAGGTGATGTACGTAAAAATCCAGGTCTCTCTAGTCTCCTATGCATAAAGCGGGTCTTGGTGGGCATACCAGAATTCAGTTGTCATACCATACTTTTGTACTTATCCCAGAGTTGATCGCTTTTTTTAAGCCTTTTTGAAGAAGCTGCCTCACTGTCATAATGCTCCGCCATCCATAAGAGGGGTTATTAGCCTTTCCAACCTCCATAGGGGCCGAATACCGGTAGTATCTCGCTTGTAAAACTCTCGCTGTACAGGATGACATATAATGTATTAATCTCCATAGTTGTTTTCCCAGAAGAGCCAGGTTAAAAAAATTTAGGTCTCGGGATCCCAAACCGTCTTTATGTTGGCTTACACATATTTCATCTCAGGCAACCCAGTGCATCCTGATATATCATGGTTTTTATGGTTTTTAACCATGATATAAGTCCTTTTTATTGAGTCTTTTTGGTATTTTTAGAGTCCTAGAAGAGTCTTTGCAGGTTATAGCATGTCTGGAGCATAATTGGAGATTTTGGAACCTTTTGGAGCATTCTGAGTGGAAGCCACGAAGTACCAAGCTCGAAGCAGAAAAGTATCGCATATGGTGACGATCGTCACCCCTTCAGTGACGCTCGTCACCCACTAAGGAAGGAGCGTGGCCTTTTATTAAAAGTATCAAGAAGAATTGCAGAATTTATCCAGAAGTTTCCTTTATTTACATGAAGACCCCAGGTCGTGTTTAGCTTCTATTTATTAGGTTTTTCAGCCATTGTTGGCTAGGATCTAAGTTTTTAAGAATTCAGAGAGCTAGAGAGAGATTTATTCAGAGCTTTTTGGGGAGACAAATCCTGTACTCTTTTGAGAAGATTTCGAACCCCCTTTGTTTCTTACTCTTTCTCTTAATGCAATTTTATTCAGTTATGCTTTGTGATCTCATAATCATGTCTGAGTAATCTGCTAGTTAAGTTAGGGTTTTTCAAAGGTTGATGAAAAGAGTGTAGAATCGCTATCTGTTAGGAATATCTCATGGTTTTTCATCTCTGCTTGCTTTAAAATCGAATTTCTGAGACACATCATCTAGGAATCCGAAAATCATAGGTTGTTAAATATATGTGAGAGCATTATTCATAACCTGAACTAGTATTTGATGAGCAAAACAACTTAGTACAAAGAGATTTGGCTTAGGAGTTTTTGTAAACAATTGAACCTGATCATTACTGCATGCTTAGGTTGCTAGGGTTTGCAAAGAGATTTGAAACTCTGTAATTTAAGCATAGATAACTTTTACAATGAGAATTGATTAGTTATGCATTAGAGATTCATGTTTAAAACGGTTCTTAATCATTCCCGATTTCCTGCATCATACATTCTTGGATTCAAACCTGCGAATTACCCTGGCTTAGTGCTTTTAATCTTCTTGAACTTAGATAACTTTACACATTCGTTTGCTTACTTTTATTAATTCATTCGCATTACATACATCATATTTTGCTTAGCTTAGTCCGAATCTATACTCGATAGTGTAGTTTGCATTACTCTCTTGGGATTTCGATACCCCTTATACTACATCTGTTTTTGCTGTGCACTTGCAGTAGTTTTATTTGGGTAAAACATTGACCCTATCAAGTTTTTGGCGCCGTTGCTGGGGAGTAATAACTGCCTATCGATTTTTAGTATTAGGATTTTGTCTAAGTTTTTATTTCTTTACTGATTTTCAGCTACTTTTCTTTGTTCCTGTTTCAGGTGTATGCCTAATCGCAGAACCAGAAGCAACAAAGAGAAGGAGCTTGTGACTTTGAGCATCGACGAGCTTGCTAGGTTGGAGAGAACTAACAGGAAAGCTAAGAAGCAATCTGCAATGGTCGCTCCACTGATCTTGGTTGAAGATGCAGAAGGTCACTTGGTTGACAGGGAAGGAAACAGGAGGAACGAAGAGGGGCAGAGAATTGATCAAGAGGGGAATGTCATTGTTGAACACCAGGTTCAGCAAGTGGCTGAGAACGTGGGAGTCCCTGCTGCTGTCAATAACGCTGCTGGGCGTTTTGTTCAGAGGACTCTAGGTGATTACAACAGACCTGATCAGTTCTATGCCAACAGAGCTGCAATCCGACCTCCTGCCTTCCAGAGGAACGATTTTGAGGTTAAACCTGTCTACTATCAGCTAGTTGGACAGCATCCCTTCCATGGTTTACCTCATGAGCATCCTATGGATCACATAGAGAGATTTGAGGACTTGGCTTCCAATGTCAAAGCTAATGGGGTTAGCAATGACTTTCTGTTCTGCAAGCTTTTTCCATACTCTCTTGAAGGAGAAGCTGCATATTGGCTGAAGCAACTGGAACCTGCTTCATTAACTACTTGGGAGGACACCAAGAATACCTTTCTGAACAATTTCTATGATGATGCCAGATCAGAAGACATGAGGACGAAAATTGCATCATTTACACAAGGCCCTACTGAAGATTTCAAGGCTTCTTGGATCAGGTTCAAGTCTTATCAAAGGGACTGCCCTCATCATGGTTTCAGTCAGGTGCAATTACTTGGGATCTTTTTCAGAGGCATTGACTGGAAATATCAGATGGCGCTGGATGCAGCAAGTGCAGGGAACTTCAACACCAACAGACCAGAGGAGGCGGTGAGACTGATTGAGAACTTGGTCTGCAGCAACAGCACTAAAAATGCAGACTTTCAGAGAATAAAACAAGCTGGTGTAGCTGATGGAAATCAGATTGCTGAAGTTAAGGCTAAGTTGGATGATATGCACAGCCTTTTGGTAGGGAAGAAGTCAGTTCACTTTGCTGCAGAAGTAGAGACTTTCGAAGCTCCAGAGGAAGTTGAGGAGGAGGATGTAAATTTCATCAATTCTAGCGGATTTCAGGGACAAAGGTATGGGAATCAGCAGTGGAACAGAGGATACAGCAATAACAATCAGAAAAACGCCCCTACAGGAGGACAGAACACGCCTGGTTTCACTCCTAGACCCCCTTTCCAGAAGACAGAGTATCAGAAGCCATTCCAGAACAGTGGAAATTACAGAAACTATGGTTCTACTTCCTATCAACCAGCACCTCCACAAGAGAACAAAATGGAAGCAATGTTCGAACAGATCTTGGAAGGACAACAGAAGCTTACTGTGAACTTCAATGGCAAGATAGATTCGCTCTATCAGGACTTGAATGGGAAAATTGAGAGTCTGAACTCTCATATGAAGAAGCTTGATGTTCAAGTTGCTCAAACTGCAGGAGCTGTTCAGAGGCAAGAAGGATTCCTTCCAGGAAGAACTGATGCTAATCCCAAACACCACGTGAATGCCATCACATTGAGGAGTGGAAGGAACCTGCAACCAGTGTTGCAGAAGGATTTAACCTCAAGAAATTTCGTAGGTATGGAAGAGTATGAAGATGAAGAAAATTTTACTGCAGACCCATTGGTGACGCTCGTCACCAATAATGGGTGTCGCTCGTCACCCATTGAGGATGACACCGACCCCGATTCTTCACAAATTAGTGACGACCGTCACCAAGGGGGTGACGCTCGTCACCAGACACCACATGTTGCAGTTTCGCCTAAGACTTCAGATAATGCTAAGGAGACCGTGTATAAACCCAAGATACCCTATCCTAAGCATCCTAAGAAGTCTAAGCAGGAGCTTGAGGATGCAAGATGCAAGGCTATCATGGACAAGTTGGTAATAGAGATCCCATTGATTGATGCTGTAAGGATAACTCCTGTTATTAGGAGGTATGTGAAGAGAATGGTGACCAATAACTTGAGTCTTGAGGTTGGGGCTATGATGATCAACGAGCAGGTCAGTGCAGTGATTCAGAACAGAGTTCCAGAGAAGCTTTCAGACCCAGGAAGCTTTGTTCTAGACTGCACCATCTTCAATGAGAAGTTTGAGAGGTCATTGTGTGATCTTGGGT